CGACCCAACCGATCCCGAGTGGACAGTAGCTCCTAAGCTACAGAAACCTGGTATTGTCCTTAAATTATCCAAGAGGTGAAGGGAGTCATAGGAGCAGTGTAAAGGTCTTGCTAGTCTCAGAAGTGATCCATGCTGAATCCTATGTTGAAGCCTGGAGGGTTTTCTAATGAAAAGATTGATTCCCAGTGACAGTGGTGAGAAAGAAAGAAAGAAAGAAGGAAGGAAAGAAGGAAATAAAGAATGGGAATACAGCATGTACTGAATGTAGCATGGGTTTTGCGATGCCAATATTGGTTGTTTAATTGAATGCCAATAGCACCTTGTGGTCATAAATTCAGGCATTGTTGTCTGTTAGGTTGTAAAGCAAGCAACACAAGTCTGATACTGCAGCTTATAAAATCCAGTGCTGCATCTGTTAGTAAAATGATGCCAATATTGCGCCTTGGTGGGAATTTATGCCTGGTTTGGCATACTGTGAAACTGAATATCAACTCGAAATATAACCGAAATGATGTGAAAGTTATCTCTATAGTGGCTTGAGCTTGCCAGTAATCTGTGACTCTTTAAGTAGGTTGTTAACAGTAGGTAGTGGTGCTCCTTAGGCTGGTGACAGGTGACACTTTTGAGAGAAAGGGCTGGCTTCAAATCAGTGGCTTTCAATATCTGAACCACATATTTCAAATTGCCAACAGTTTTTCCATTTCTTGCTTACTTAACCCCGCTCCTTCCATCTCTCCTTCTGCATTGGTTCCCACTGTATTGAACACCATGCCCAAATATATGTCACCTGGGGGTAAAAGGGTTAACGGTACATTCACTGTGTGTTGCAAGTATTGAATGAATGGAGTTTTGATAGTAGAAAGCAAATAATGTAGAATGACACTAGCAAGTTTGGTTTGAACACAACACCCTTTGTACTGGACATATGACTGTCACATGACTGTCATGTGATTTGAACCTTGATATGGACCCAGAATAGAGCAATCTTCCCTTGCATTTGTTATAAAGGATGATAGTCTAAGCTGAGGAGTTTCACTTTCCTAATTTTGTGTGAGGAACAGTCTGTAAGTGACTGATGTATAAAAAATATGTTTATTATTACATCAGATGACTTTTACTTGCGGTTTGAATGAGAGTGAAAGGATTTCTTAATATCTAAATATCTATGAATCTGGACATAAAATATCAATCTAGAAGACATTTTGTAGTCATCACAGATAACAGAAAAGACCTTGTGAGTAACAGTTTGGGTTGAGTAATATTTTGATGGTAAAGAAAGGACTTAGATATCAAAATGGGAAAAAAATGCCATAAAAATTTGAAAAAATAAAAAAGATATATTTTATTTAATAAAACAAGAAGGAAAAAAACGTTAAAAAAAAAAAGTAATATGCACTCCTTCCCTGCACTGTGTACAGAAGTTATAGTATATTATGTGGATATGGAAGTAAATAACTGGTTGGTTAAACAATTGTGAAATTTGTACATTATGTGGATATAAGATGATGGTATAAAAATATACATACGTATTGACTTTGCATAGTGAGTGTATGTGCTCCATGATAATTGGTTTTATGTGCTGCAGACCGAGTGTATAATAATCTGTACATCTGCATTGTGTTATAGCCATTGTACAGCAACATCACCATAGAGGCTTGCATAATTCATGTGTCAGGCTTCAATTGTGGTTCCGTGTAAAAACTTGTATGCTGAGAGTATCGGCCCACACGTAGTACTTGAAATCCCCATTAACTAATAAATGTGTACATAGTTTGATTCTTCTGTTCTTCACATTGAATGTGGTTTTGTATGTATTAGCTTATAGTTATTGGATGGTGTTTGATGCTGAAAAAAGATTCTGTAAAATAAATTCATTGTAATTGTATGATAATTGAATTGAATCTGTGAACTAGACTTGAATATGTGTATATAAGTATATATAACCCAGAGGTCGCCATAGTAACGGTTACCATGGTATCAGAGATCATTACTATGGATATTGTGTAGCTTCTAATACTGCCTTTGAAAACAATGGAAAACTGTATTCATCATAGGAACATTTCACTACACATTTGCTTCATACTCTCACATGTAATAAATCTCTCGTTAACTATATCTAGTATGAAGAAGAACTATTTGTCTGTTATCCCACTTAGTTGACATATTGTTATTTATGAAACAGTCCATTTTGGAAAGAAAAGGGGGACTGTTTTGGGTGGGTGGGTGGGGTATTTTTAATAAAAAAAATTGGAGCTTGTATTATGTAACATTCTTAAAGCTACATTGGCAATCATTGGGTGAAAATGGACTTCTCTTGGGAAGATGATTTGTGGTAGTAACAGTATCTCCCCACTTCACAGTTTTTCTCTCCCCGAGGGTGGAGTTTGGGAGTGGTGTTTGGATTTATTTGCGGGAAATGTTGTATTGGTAAGCACTTAGTGCAAATAAAACAACTGCCTTGTTTCTTGAACTTATTTCTTTGTTATTGGTGATTATTCTTCAGAAAGAGAGTTTACATGATTGCTTATAAGAGATTAAATTGCTAAATCGTCAAGATGAGCACCAACTTTCAAATCCAAACCATGTTTTTGTCAGTTTGAATTAAAATTAAAGAGCTTTGATTATCAGCCTCATATTTATTCCATCTCTGAAAAGAGTGATTATTTTACATGGAAATTGGAACGAAGAACCTGAGCAAAATGTGGTCTCTATTGCGGTAGCTGTGCTTGTCTCAACAACAGCATTTTTCAGAAAAAAACTAGGGCAACTAGAATTCTCCCTTCCCACCATGCCCTTTGATGCTTAGTTAATGTATGCTCAGATTATCCATTTATCAAACTAAATTTGAAAAGTGCAAATTTGATCGTAATAAAATTAGGGTTCTTCATGCATATACCGATGCATTTTTTATAGCCATTATTTCTTGTCCATATGAACATAAAGAGTGCACTACGCGACCACATCATACGAATAAAGATTTTATTTACACATGATCATGTACAAAATAATACAAAAAAAAAATTGTCACAGTTGTCATATTTTAAACTCTGGTAAGCAGAATAAAAATTTGACTCGTGTATGTTGCTATGTACATTTCGCAGAACGGGATTTTTTAACAGTATAAATCCACAACCATTTTTTTTCCAAATACTAGTACACTTTGCAGAATGGGATTTTTTAACAGTGTAACATCCACATCCATTTTTTTCAACTACTAGTACATTTCGCAGAATGAGATTTTTTATAAATATCCACATCCAATTTTTATCTCCAAATGCTAGTCTTCCTCCTCAGAGGCCTCCCCACTACTTTCTCCCTCAACCTGGTTTACGTTTCCCCGAGTGTTACTATCACTACCCTTATCATTATCCTGTGTATCACTGTCGCTATCATCCCGTTCTTTATTCTTCTCCATTTTCGCAATTATTTCTGTAACAAAAACAAAAAAAAAAAAAAAAAAAAAAAAGACGTGAGACTACTGAAACCACTTCTGACAAATTAATTACTGCTTATATCTGAAAATAAAGCCAACAGAATTTTTAAATATAGATTAGAAAATAGTTTTTCTTATAGATTAGAAATAGTTTCTCTTATCACATTTTCACATCCACAAAATGTAAACGAAAACCAGCAACTGCTTGCTCTTGTAACTTTCTTTAGCAGCATTCATAAAACATTCTATCTCTCCACATGATAAATCACAAGGGCAATACACTACCATGTCACCATCTATGTTAAAGTGATAATAACTCTTCATTTCGGCCAAAAAATGAATTTTCCTGGAGTAAACAACAATTTTCTCATACTTACCAATGGTAAATGAATCCATTTTTACATTCAAAGTTAGTCCCTGGTTCTTTTCTAAAAAGTTTGGTTTTTTGTTAAAATCTCTTATTATAATAAGAGATTTTAACAGAGTATATCCATCAATGGAGGTCACATGGTCTAAAGACAAGCTCAGATATCAGAATAATAGCTATAACTGCCGTTTTTGTGGTAAAATGGAATATATTATATTTCTATGAGTTATTCACAATGTTTTTATTGTGAAATATAGATCTCATATGAAGAGTTATTATCCCTTTAACTGCCCTCCACCAGATAGATTTTTACAGATATTCACAGAATAGATACAAGTGACTTAGAACCAAAATGACCATCTATCTATCTAGAGACATATCTGTGAATATCCGTAAAAAATCTATCAGTCGCCCTGGTAGAGGGCATATGTTAACAATATCTTACCTTTAGCAGGGTTAAACACCCCCATAGTTTGTGTTCCACATACAAAACACCTTTTGGACTTTCTGTACTGTGCCAATGCACACTTTTCACAGAAATAATGCTTGCACCTGAAAACAATACAAATTAATAAAATAATTTAATCAGAAGGCATTAATCCATAGAGCTAGTGGGTTTAATGTATGTTTACAGATTTAAGAAATAACCCACTATATCAGTCCATGATTGATTCTACGTAACAAAGATATGTGCTACAATTAATCAAGTTTTCTTTTTCTGAACTTCAGTCAAAAGAGTGTCACATTTAATATTAAAACTTCACATATATCACAAGGGCATCAAAAACAATAACAACAGTCATTGTCTACTACTTGCCTAACAAATATCAAAACCACTTGATTACTAAAAGATGACTTGAAACCTTTTGATGCAAAAAGATACAGCTTTACTTGCTTGGTGTGCAGTTTATTTTGATAATGTTGCATAATCTTGTTTCACCACTGGGAATCCTTTTTTTTTTTTGCATCAAAAAGGATCACCTCATCTTTCACTCGCGTTGTGTCTTGTGATGCACAACTGTGAAAAGGGACATAGTCTCACTTATTTATTGTACTATTCCTTTAAAATTCTTAGTATAATGGGACACAATTTAAAGTAATATCATGAAAAGTAATTTTTACCACTCACTTTGTTATGACGGGATTAGTGAATGTCTTTCTACAGATGAAACAGGCAAATGGGAGATCATCTTCATCACTACTGATCTCATATTTACTCAGGTCTGAAAAAAATTAAGTTCAGAACAATGTTAAAGCAATGACAAAATATGCTGAATGATGAATTGGTGAATTGGCTTGAAGGACTTCACTTCCATCACAAATGTCAACATCTGCTATAACTACAGGTATGTTTCCTATCTGTGTGAACCCCAAGAAATGTTTAAAATGTGTTCATTGTATCACAGAAAAATTATCATGTCTCCCTCTTTCTCTCTCTAATGCCCTATTCCCCATAGTTCCCTTCTCCATCTCTCTCTCCATCATCTTCTCTCTCTCTCTCACCTTGTTCCCCGTATGTTCCCTTCTCCATCTCTCTCTCCAACTGCCAGCCGTGCTTGTAGTCACTGCGATCATGAAGAAACTTGCAGCTGTCTAAAAGGTAAATATAATCAATTTACTTACATGTCTCAACTTGAATAGAGGCAATTCAAATTAACAATAAATTCAGCTCATTATTGGTGGCTGCCATTTTTGAAAAAAAAATAATTCTCAAGGCATTATTTTCAATGATTTACAAATGATATTTAACTTCACATTAGAAAAGAAAGAAAATAATAAACCTTAATATATATAATATACTGTAATAATATATCTATATCTGGTAAACACCAAAATTGAGATCAGTTTGTAACAGTGAGTATAACCCAATAAATCAACTGAATTTAAAGTGTTGTCCCTTCTATAGCAGTACCTCCAAAGCCACAAAACCCCGTCTCCTTGTAATCCTTGCAGATATCTGGCTGGTAGTCCCACCTGACAGTTGACCTCAGAAAGGCAGGGGCTCTCTTGGGACCATACCTGTATATTGGATGTAGACATATATACATGTATATATATTTGCAAAGAAGGTCAAGGTTTCTTTATAGCCGACCTTGATATACAAGTTTTGGAAATTCGTCTTTCTTTTATCTGACAAACATAAAGAAGCAAAAGAATTTGTGCAACATATACAAACAGCACTCTGTTTGTAAGAGCTTTATTTTGTTTATCGCATTAATATGTGGGTTCAAGAATGTTTCTTTGAGATGGCACTGCAACCTGGGCACATCTACTCACAAGACAAAAAGATCCACATATTGTTAAAAATTTGTTTGGTGCTCACGTAAGAAGTGACGATGTCAATTAAGTAGTATAGCTATGCAATTACCTAACTATCTCCATATTCCAGCTTAACTATTTTCTTCTGATATGTATTTGTCTTCATGTTTTGATAAAATTTCTTCATATATTAATTTATTTTGATAATCTCTTATTTATGATTCCATTTGTTTATTTATTTCACAATTTATAAATTTATCTATTACTTTATCTATTTATTCACTTTTACTCATCTATTTCCTTTATTCATTTATTAAACCATACCTATTGGCAGCGTTTGCTGCACTTCCTGATGCAGTGTCTTTCACTTCATAGAACTGTGTGTAGTTGTTCACTCCTCTGTAGACCCTGTCATCCTCAAGACCTCTTTGTTCCTGGAATATAAATTATTTGGATAAGTCGAGTCATTTTATGAAGATTATTTGTTCATAAAAAGTGAAAACTACCATGTTAAACTGCAATTCAAATTCTTGTGTAATGAACAGTATGAATTACAGTATATATATCAGTGCATTTCCTTGTTGCTTTGCACATTTGCTGGTTAGCAAGTAGTTCTTTTTCATTCTGTTCTAAAGTAATTTGTTCTTATAATCTATTTTTAAATTTTTCTCTCACAATCACCCATATACAAACTCTTTCCTTCTCTCTTTTAACAATTCTCTCGCAATCACAAATGCACAAACTTTCTCTCTCTCTCTTTTATTACTTTATTAATCTGCACTGCTCTCTCTGCAATGGCTAATGCATCCTTATCTTTTTCTGTGTCGATTTCTACGGTAGCTGTGGCTCCCATATCCTGGGGACCATCACGTTGCTGAAATAGCACACAACAAACATTTCTGAATCAGTCTTTTATGAACAAAAATGTACAAAATGCAAACAATGAAACAGAGTTAGACATAATGGTACATGTATTAACAATACAGTACAACAGCCAATGAATTTCTGTAGTAAATTCTGAATTATCCAGTATGTACTTTTACCAATAAGTTAAATAAAAATTATGCAATCATGTTAACAAGTGATTCCATAGCTTACTTTTAAATAAAGATTTTTCGCTTTCATAAAATAAAATGAAACTTGAAAGAGCACAACTGCATGCTTACTCACACCAGACTTGTTGGACTTATAGGACACTCCAATATTGCTGTTCTTCTCTTGTTCGCTGTCACTGCTACTGTACTTGACATCATCTCTTGCTTTTAATCGGTTGGTCTGTCAAATAGATCAGTAATAAGCAGCTAGTGTTCACTTGTTCCCTGCTATAAACTATTTAATCAACACATTATTCTTCAAAATTGGAGGAGTTCTTGACTGTCACATATTAATCTCAAATATACTTTTACTTATTATTTCACTTTCAACTCTATTTTGCCTTTGGCAGGGTTAAATATGATAAGAGTAAAACATGTTAAATCATTACTTAATGCCCTCACCATAAAGAACAGAAGCTCTGAGCTATCATGGTAATCTTTTTTAAGGTCCATAATTCATATCTGATGTCTTATTTTCCATGAATACAAAGCTACTTACAACTGTACATTGTGTATCATTCCAAATTCAGACATTAAAAATGATAAAACTCTATCAAATAAAAGTTCCCAATGTTGAATTTTCTTATGAGATACAGGAAAATGTGCTGGTCTTAACATTTGGCCAGACATTATAATGATATCTAATAAAATTGCCAAATTAGAAGTGAAATGAAACATCAAACTTAAGAGCAGGTATGTGTTGAGCAATGATTTGTGGTCAGTTTCTATTTGGATCAAAAATTCTGGATAAGCTACCTGAAAGCATGTTACACAGTTCATATACCTTTTGTACCATAAGACCGCTGGTCCCTTTCTTTCTGCGAACTACTTCGCTGTCATCTTCACTGCTAGAGTCTGGAAGAAAAGTAAATAATCAGTCCTGTGACTGTTTGATCGTCATTCATCTATTTATTTAATTTATATTTCTTTTACCGAAATAATTCACCATCATTGGCAATTAACAATGGACTAGCTCCTGTGACTTCAGGGAAAAAGTGGTATGTCTCTCTGATAAACCTATTTTCTTCAACAACAACCACTGGGGTTACATCGACATCGAGAGATTTGCCTGGATAACACCAAATTCCGTTATGAATTCTGCAACGTTTCAAACAACACTGTTGTAGTGCTTATGGTATTATAAGCCGGTATTATAATACCTATATTAATTCACTGATTATGAATTTGAATATCAGTTTTTTTCTTCATTAAAATCGGTGAATTGAAGTTAAAACTATATCATTTAAATTGATCTACATACCCTTGCTATCACTGGCCCGTCGTTTTCTTGTATTTTGCCGTTTACCTCTTTTCTTAAAGGTAAACGTACAAACTTTCGTGTCTGTTCCCTCCATACTTATAAATCAAACCTACTGAAGGTGGCGCTATTTTGCAAGATGAACCGCAACAGTGACTGGTTCTAGACGCACCTGTATGAAAATTGACTTTCACCGTGCTTTATCTCCAGACTCGTTTTATTGATTAAATTAGTCCAAATAATGGTATTGTACCTTCAAGTTTCATCATTGGTTTAATCACTCTATATCTATAATAAAATAAATAAGGCTGTAGGCCTAAAAGTAGGAGAGTCCGGGGCCCCAGGATTAAGTTGGCCCCTTGTCAATTTATGAAAAAGTACTTTACGTACGAGGTAAAAAGGTGATCACATAATCTTGTAACTTGACCAAATCCTACAACACCAAGAGAGCGTCAGTCGTTAAAAAAGTTTTAGGCCTACTAGAGCGATGAGTCCAAAGGAACCGTTTTCTGCATCTGAAGAAACTATAACTTTGTTGAAGAAATGTTAAGTGTATTTGTGATGGTAAATAATGTCCCCATGATATATAGCACAGGTGCTGAGCCTATTTTTGCCCCCATGGATGCAGTCGATTAAGTGTGCATTGATAAGGCTTATATGTAGGGCCTACCAACTGGCCCGTAAGTACAATGTATAGGCTATAAGCTTAATAAGCACCTGTCAGATTTGTGTAAGATTTCATGGGCACATTTGGGACGCAGACAGAATTAACATATATTTACTGCAGTTATATTCTGTCCACATATTATTTCACGTACACTGTGTCTAAAAGAGAAGATACCAGAATTATCATTAGCGTATTCAACCTACCTACTGGTAGGCCTATACATGTACATGTAGCCTACTGGTACACGTATAGCTCCTTCTTTGTATATAGTTCAACACCTTTGTGACAGAGATCCCGATATCCCCGAATTTATTGTCTTAAACTTTGGTCACAGAAAAGAATATAGATAGAGCTCGTGTTGTAACACCAAAAATACGTCAACTACACTAAAATACTTCATTTTCGAAGCTAGCTAGGTAAGGGCGTGGCCTATTAATTGTGTACTCCCGGATTCACGTCTCTTTGGGGATTGTGTATGATTCGTGTCTATGGAGCAGCAAGGTGAACTGTTTTTGCCCCAAAATATAGAAAGACGCGTAGCAAGCAAATTTTGATGGAAAGGGGCTGAACAATTGTAGAGATAGATATATCATAAAAATCATTAAATTATAGGCCTAATTCGCGGCATGTACCGGTGAAGGATATACTGTATATACATGGGGGATTTCACTGAAGACCCTGCTCGTACTTCCTGCGCATTTGACTTACGTGGTTGAAAAAGCAGTGTGTATTTACGTGTTGCTCCTCCCTACGATTATTTCGCACCCCTCGCTCTCCGGTTCCCGCCCTTGTTATTATAGGTCACTTTAATATATGGTTGTTGTTACAACCGTATACCGTGATGACCAGTGGTCCTTTAACCTACTTTCCATATAGTATAGAAACTACATATATATAACACAAAGCTTACTGGTCAGCGACTGGTCAGGTAGGTCAAAATAAATAGAAGAACAGTTCCATTTAAGTCATACCTGGTGTTGTATTCTCGAAAGGTTGTAACTTACAACAATTTGTAAATATTTACGTGAATTTGTGACTTGGATTTAAGCGCGGTATTCTCGAAACTGCTGTTAGTCTTGGACTTACAAACTCTTGTAACTTTTCACGTAACTTTCCGACAGTGAACCATATAGACCTTATGTCTATAGCTATTTCGTTAGGAGTGTAATTGTCTAAGCATATGTTACGAGACTTAATGTATTAAAGGTGGATCATATACATTTACAGTTTATATGTCTTTGTTCCCTCTCATTGCAATCAATCTCTACCGGGCGGCTAAGGCGGGAGGATGTATATTCATTTTGGCCCCAGGGGAAGACACAACGTCCCTCGCTAGGCTTCTGGGGCACCAATAACCCCTTATCCCCCTTCTTCGAAGATACACAGTAATCAAGAAAATATGTAGAATTTTGATGAAATGCATAGTTAATTCGCATGCAGGTAATTGTACAGCTGTAAATGCAGGTACATGTACATGTACGTGCTGTAGGCTCATTAATGACAAAANTGCTATCTGGGAACATGTGCAAATATATTTTCCAGGCCAAAGAGGCGGAACGCACCCTACTTCTTATTCGTGAAATTGTGAGTGGGAGATGGACCTGTTATCTAAAAAAGAAGCTACAACATTTGTTGAAAATGTTCTAGGACTCATTGACATCCAAATGAGATTTAATACAGACAGATTGTCTTTCCTGAACGACATTATTTATGAATATCATTGCAAAGTTCCATTCCACAACGTGGATCTGTTGGCTCTACCAGTTTCTGAAAGGAGAATACCGAATTTGACAGAATTGAAAGAGAGGGGTCTTTCCGGCAGAGGCGGTCTTTGCTATCAAAATAATACTTTCCTGTATTTCGTCTTACAAGCTTTGGGCTATGACGTCACATTGGCAAAAGGCCAAGTTAAATATCCGGGAAATCATGTGCTGTTAGTAGCACATGATGTTGTGACGCCAGGCGATAGCTTCCTTATAGAGGCTGGCATGGGATATCCGACATTGAAATCGATCCCTTTAGATTTTCAAGACGAGTCGCCAGTGTACACGTTTTCATTTTGTACCTTCAAATACGTCCGCAAGGAAGGCGGAGAGTTTCATCGAATGCACAAAGGTTTAGCAAAAGATTCATACAAAGGGGAAAACGACCTAGACAACAATTGGCGGTATGTCTATAGTTTTAACACCGCTCCTTGCATTCTCAAGGATTTGGAAAGCTCGATGGTCAGACCATACACAAACCCAACAACTTCAATTTTTCTCAATTCGCTCAGAGCTGTTCGTTTTCCGAATGGCAAGCTGCTGGCAATCAAGAATACCTCGATACTGGAAGACAAAGACGACGCAGTTTTTGCAACTGAGGTGAAAGATTCCGAAACCCTAAAGAATGCCTTGTCTGTCTTGTTCCCAATGCTCAGCAGTCCAAAAGAGGTTATGTCATCTGCCGTTGAAATGTTTGAAACATTTAAATGCTATAATTAACCGATATACATGCAAGATATCTTGATAATGCACTGCTCTCATCCTGTAGATGTGTAACCTTGGTCATAAAGATGTAGGGAAGCGTTAAATGTCGACAGAAGTATGTACGTATAACACCCAAACCTAATATGCTGAAGTGTCAAAAAAATTAAATTGAATGAATTCAAAGTTGCATTCAATTTTTTTAAAATATGTATGTGTATAGAACAAAAATGCACGACTGTATCAGTTTAAATTCAAATTTTAATTTTTACCATGTCTTTACCGTGATAATATGTGGTGTAATTACGGCTTAAATAAATTATATTCAATAAACCACCATGTTGTAGTGTTTATTACTACCATGAAGGACTAAATACACATCGGTTATATGCAGGTAACTGGAATTTAAATTTATGTTAACATATATAATTTTAATTAATTAATTTATTTATTTCTATTTTTTAAATCAAATTTATTTAAGTCGAGGAAGCCAGGTCATTTTTTTTGCCCTGTTGCACACTATATATATATATAGGTTGTTGCTCTCGCCTTCCTGGGATAGCCAATAATCAAGTTTGCATGAGGGCAGCATTCATCACTTTACAGTTGTACGTCGACAGGAAACTCGAACTGCATTGTGGGAGGGGGAAAGAGCGTGAACTCATGGCGCGAAGGCTCTTGAACACAAAATAATGACTACCTGCTGTGTTTCAAGTTGCAGAAATGATAGAAGGTATCGAGAAAGGTAATTTCCCGCTAATTTTACAATCATGGACCAGAGTGTGTGATCGTCGAGGTTATTCCCCATTATTCGTGTACTCGCTGTTTTTGTTTTGCTCTATTTTTTCCCACAATGCAATTCTCACGCATGCGCGCAGCGATTTTGTAAGTATCTGTAAAGTGGTGAATTGTTTGCATAAAGACAAAACGACGGTTAAAAACAATGTATCGTTTTCACCCATCTTTGCATTGCTCCTGTACAAAATGTCCGCTTGCTGCCTCCCCAAGGGAAAAATAGTAGCACGTGGGTAGTTACGCAAGACCTGTGACGCATAAGTTATAACGCGCGCAATGTTATTTGGCAAGAGGATCACGGCGGCATCATTGGCATAACAGCGGTAATCGCCAATAGTGAATAGCTTATAATGACTTTGGCCCAACGTTGACAATAGGGCGGCATGTGTTGGTGCACAAAATCATCCAAAGACAGGCGCGAAGTAAATTTCAATGGACAGGGGCTCACCTGTGGAAATTAAAATGTTATTAAAATTTTATTAAAATAGAATTAACGACATGTATCGGATATATACTGTGGTCCTATACATATTGGGAATTCACCTTAGGCCCTGTGTGTGCTTTCTGCGCATTTGACTTACATGTACTTTTAAATTATATATATATATATATATATATATATATATATATATATATATATATATATATATATATATATATATATGGGTGGGAAGGGGGATGACTCTCCTACCCACATTAAATTTTGCCCCATCGTTACTCGGCCCCCTGCACCTAATTTAGTATGTTTACAGAGGCGGATTTAGGGCGTCTTCTGGGTCTTCCGGAAGACGGTCAGATTTTCAAGTTTACATTGACGGGTATCTAATTTTTTCTGTCGGAAGACGGTCAAAAATGGAGGATGGATCAATAAAGATAAATTGGAAGACTGTCAGAAAATAACTCTGGATCCGCCCCTGGTTTACATTAATAATGTTTGTTGTGCACAACCGAACTTTGATACCCAGTGTCCCTTTGACCTACTTTCCATCGATGTAACACGAAGCTCACGCTAATATAGTCAGGTACGTCAAAATCATTATAAAAATAGTCCCGTTAAGTCATTTTCGAGTCCTGAACCATATAGACCTAGTTTTCGTCAGGAGTCTCAGTGTTAAGTCAGCATACTAAAGAATGTTACGAGACTTCTACAGTGTAGTGTATCAAAGATGGAACATTTTGCATACAACTTGTATGTGTCTTTGGTCCTCATTCCGATCCAGCTCTGTCGGTCATGATGAAGACTTGGACTTATATACATGTATCAGTGGCGGCTCCAAGGGTTAAATGCCTCCAGGGGTTGTCTCAGTTGCCCCAGTTCTTTTGGTCTCCTATCACTCTATGGGACCATTCCCAGACCCTATCGTACTAACTGTAGATCGATCTATCTCCAAAGGGATTCTCACTGAATTGCAATCAACTTAATTAATCAATTAGATGATTATCACGCCTACTGAAGTTGCTAGGGGTAATAAATTATCGTTTAATTAGCAGCTTCAGTAGGCGTGCTAGACACGTGCACCTAACCCGCTTAAGCTGAAAGCAAGATAGCGAGAAACCCCTCGGAGATGGATCGATCCTGTTAGATCGATCTAGATATAGGAACCCAGTCTATGTTACAAACTCTAGGAGAGGTGGTATAAATATATCCAAACCAAGGGGTAATCACTTTGAAGCATATCATTCAGTTTGATAACGTTTTACTCTTTTTATTGCGGCTATACAGTACTTGAAGTGTTAGCAATTCCGCTCGCCATTTTTAAGTGATGCCAAATACACTGTATAGTCACGAGAGTATCTAGCACACCTGGGGTGTTATAAGACCTTACCTACGCAGCACGTAAGGATCCATTCCCAATGAATCTATCGTTCTCCGTAGATCGATCCAACTTCGCGGGGACTCTCGCTGAATGCAATCAAATTAACACGCTTTGGCCTCTTGTGTCCAACGTGCTCGTGTAATCATCATCTACTCAGCGCCAAGAGAAGGCGTGTTGTTCTGTTAATTTGATCCTCGCAGAGTTGGGTCTATCTACGTAGAACAATATACATGTAGTTGCATTCGGATTGCCTTAATTAAGCCAAAAACTGAGGCAAATCAGGGAAGGACACAATTACTGACACGTGTCTCTGGCTAGGCTTCAGCCCCTATAAATTCTCCCCTCCTTCCCAAACACAAAATACATGTATATCGAGCGAAAATGTAGAATTTTGATGAAATGCTTGGCCTTTTTGTTTTTTTTCTAATTAATATATATAGTTTGCCTACATGTATTAATGAGTTATGACAAAGAATGTGCAAATATATTTTTTCAGGTCAAAGAGACGGAACTCACCCTACTTCTTATTCGTGAAAGTGTGAGTGGGAGATGGACCTGTTATCTAAAGAAGAAGCTACAACATTTATTGAAAATGTCCTAGGACTCCTTGACATCCAAACGAGATTTAATACAGACAGATTGTTTTTTCTGAATGACATTATTTATGAATATCATTGCAAAGTTCCATTCCACAACTTGGATCTGTTGGCACTACCAGTTTCTGAAAGGAGAATACCGAATTTGGCAGAATTAAAAGATAGAGGCCTTTCGGGCAGAGGCGGTCTTTGCTACCAAAATAACACTTTTCTGTATTTCGTCTTACGAACTTTAGGTTATGACATCACTTTGGCAAAAGGCCAAGTAGAAATTCCAGGGGATCACGTGCTGTTAGTAGCACATGATGTTGTGACGTCAGGCGACAGTTACCTTATAGATGCTGGCGGGGGATACCCGACATTGATTGCAATACCTTTAGATTTTCAAGACGAATCGCCAGTGTACACGTTTTCATTCTGTACCTTCAAATACGTCCGCAAGGAAGACAGAGAGTTTCATCGAATGCACAGTGGATTAGAAAAAGATTCATACAAAGAGGAAAGCGGCCTTAAAAACAGCTGGCGGCACAACTATAGTTTAAACACCGCTCCCTGCATTCTGAAAGATTTCGAGAGCTCGATGGCCAGACCATACACAAACCCAGCTTCAGTCTTTCTCAATTCCTTCAGAGCTGTTCGTTTTCCGAATGGGAAGCTTGTGGCTATTAAGAACAACTCAATACTGGAAGACAAAGACGACGCAGTTTTTGCAACTGAGGTGAAAGATTCTGAAGCCCTAAAGAATGCCTTGTCTGTCTTGTTCCCAATGCTCAGCAGTCCAAAAGAGCTGATGTCATCTGCCGTTGAAATGTTTGAAACATTTAAATGCTATAATTAACATATATACGTGCAAGATATCTTGATAACGCACTGCTCTCATCCTGTAGATGTGTAACCTTGATCATGAAGATGTAGAGAAGCTTTAAATGTCAACAAAAGAACGTATAAATGTTTTGTTTTCCAATGGACGATTGTAGAACGGGGCTATTGATTAAACGTTATCCTTAGCCAAGCTACTCCATCACATCTCATCACCTCATAATGCACAGATATTTGGATACCAGCAACACACAGATTAATATATCATATTTTATGTGATATTCATTTAAATACATATTTATTATTAATTTAACTTAAATGTAGGTACAAAATTTGATGTAGATAAAAACATCCTTTACAATTTTATCTTTACCACACTAAATGTAGCTCATATTTTGTATAGTGCAGATGAGGTACAATTTTTTTCTAATCATCGTATAGTAAACTGTGCAAGGTGTAGCCTATCAGTATTTTAGACCCCATTCCCATAGATTTTGGATCGATCTATCCCTGTGGGGAGTCTCACTAGATTACTGTCAGCTTAGCCGGCTTAAGCGTCTGTCCCGCCTACTAAATGCCGTAAGGGGGTAATTAACTATGGTGCGCGCTCGGCTGACTGAAATTTAGCGTGAACCCCCAGGGAGTTAGGTCGATCTAAATCTAAATCTCTGGATCGATCTAAATCTCTGGGAATGCACCCTTAGTTTACGTCACCGTTCATTTTAATAAGATATTAAATATTGATGAAAGTAACAAAATGATATCTTTATCTATAAACACATTTTGATGAAGTGGTGTACAATTTTGATATTTCTTGATATAAATTTATATTTTAAAATAATAATAATCTGTTGTTTGATTTTACTATTGTTTATTTTCTGTTGTTGTTTTTTTTTTTTCAAAGAAAGTGAAGTGGCAGACGGACATGTATCTGAACATGGATTGATTTTTTATTTACCATGAATTTATTTAATATGTGTTGTTTCTCTTCTTTTACTACTTATAATGCCCCTTCTGTTAACAAGAGCCCATCATATTTACCATTTCTGTACTGACTGACTGCAAGACTTGAGATTCGATTAATGGAGACATTTTCCAACACCGCTGAAAGTAAATGACTGATTAATTAAAAATTCAATGACGCAATTTGTTACTTTAGACTCAAACCTTTATGCTATATATTGGCTTTCTCTTTGAAAATCCAAGAACAGAGAGGAGTCGTTCAAAGACTTATCTGAGACTTATCTGCTTTTGCACAGCTGGTCTTGTATAGCATCGTGAGATTTACAACAGTTTCACTTGCTTGTTGAGAAATACTCCAGAAATATCCCGGATCATACCGACAGTCCGAAGCTCCAGTGCCGAAAGGTTAGCGTAAGTTCGGCGTGGGGGTTGGTCGGCGATTAGAGCGGTTCGCACCCGAAATAACCGTGATGCTGTGTGATGTAATTAAAGCTTAAATAAATCATATTGAGCAGATGAGACCACCATGTTCTAGTGTTTATTACTACACGGAAGGACTACACATCCGTGAAATGCAGGTAACTGAAATTTAAATTTATGTTAACATGTTTACTATGAAAGATGTACAACCTTTGAGGCCAATGGAAAATATTCAGTTTAGTAAGAGGGTTATATGAAGGACCACCACTCCGTCACCCTATTTCCAATGTTCGCCAATTAAGTAATTGGTGCATCACAGCTGGTCGTCCAAGGATAGCCAATAATAAAATTTGCATGAGGGCAGCATTACTCGCATAAAGAAAAAGCAATATATAGTTTTGTTGGCCCAATGTTGGCACGAAGTTGGCAAAAGAGTCACGGTGGAATCGTTGAAATAGCAATGACAAACCACCAGCGGCTTATTATGACTTTGGGCAACCGTTGACAAGAGGGCGGCATGTGTTTGTGCACAAAATCATGCATACGTGTAGACAGGCGCGTAGCAAGCAAATTCAAATGGACAGGGGCTTGCCTGTAGAAATTAAAATATTCAAAAATTTAATTAAAATAAAATTAGCGACATATGTGAGATGTATACTGTGGGTCTATACATATGGGGGATTTACCTTAGCTTAGGCCCTGCGTGTGCTTTCTGCGCATTTGACTCACATTTGGCTTGCCTGTGGAAATGAAATGTTATCAAAATTTTATTAAAATAGAAATAGCGACATTTATAGGTTATTCACCTTAGGCCATGCATGCGCATTTGACTTACGTGTTTTTTTAAACAGTATATGTGTGTGGGAGGGGGGTAGGGGGGGGGGAACTCTCTTACCCTAAATAAATCGGCCCATCGCTACTCGGTTCCTGCACCTATTACTGTCTGTACATAATTTAATAACGTTTGTTGTGATCAACTATATTAACCTTGATATTAAGTGTTTCTGTGACCTACTTTCCATCGAGGTTAGCTTAGACTTCTAAACTGCATATAACTCGAAGCTTACGTAATAGTCAGGTACGTTAAATTTCATTGTAAAATAGTCCGATTAAGTCATTCTTGAGTTCTGAACCATATATATATATATATAGACCTACAGTTCGTCAGGAGCCTTAGTGTTTAAGTAAACATACTAAATAATGTTACGAGACTTACACAATGCATGTGTAGTGTATCAAAGGTGGAGCATTTTGCATGCAATTTATGTCTATGATCTCTGTCGGTCATGATGAAGACTTGCAGCTCCAGCGGTTGTCTCCAGGAAATGTCTCAGTTTTTGAGCTCATAACACCCTATACAGTATGTTACAAACTCTTGGATCTATAAACATCCAAATCATGGGGTAATCGCTTTGAAGCATATCATTCGCAAATAAATTCATTTTGTATCGGTTCAGTAACCAGTTTGATAACGTTTTACTCTTTTTAATTCCACCTAAGGGACTATTCCCACAGATATGTGGATCGATCTACCTCCCTGGGGAGTCTCACTAAATTGCTATCAAACTAATGGGCTTAAACGTCTGTCACGACTAGTAAAACTTTAAGGGGGTAATTATCTTTACCCCTAGCTGATTCGGTAGGCGTGCGAACATTTAAGCCACTTGAGCTGATTTCAATTTAGCGTGAACCCCCAGGGAGTTAGGTCGATCCAGATGGATCGATCTAAGTATGGGAACCCAGTCTAAGTGTTAGCATTTCTTCATTTGAGGTGACGTCACATAAACTGCATAGTCACGAGAGTACATATATGTATCTAGCACAGCTGGGTTATGAGGCCTTACCAGCGTACCAATGGACGCATGTCCCAAGCTAGGCTTCTAGGGCACCTATAATCCCTTCTTTCCGCCTTCCCAGATACAGAGTATATGAGTATATGTAGAATTTAGATGAAATGCGTGGTCTTTTTGTTTAAAGATGCATATAAAGTCAATTTTTTCCACAAAAACCAGCACACCAGCATATAGTTTCAAGTAGTATAACTAAGAGAATTACCAAAAGGCTTTGTTTAATTTTACCCGAAAATGATGTTTGAACGAACTTTTCAGCTAGCATTCTATGCTGTATGTCAATGGGGCAGAAAAGTAGGTCACGAAAGTAGGTTAAATTTCCGACCAAAAAATTAAAGAAAGGACCAGTCTAAAGCTCTTTTAAGGCTGATCGAGTCATCTATTCAGTTTATCCCTTGGAATGTCGAATTCATTTGTGTCGTAGAAGAAACTAGTAGAAGTGGTTTACATGTGTTACTGGGAATCCACGCTCCACCGATGCTCGGTTCGTATGTACCTTTAAGTAAATTAGATGTATATAGGGGCGGCATAAATTTTGCATGCAGGTACATGTAAAGTATTAATGACAAATAATGTGCAAATATATTTTTCAGGTCAAAGAGACGGAAAGCACCCTAATTCTTATTCGTGAAAGTGTGAGTGGAAGATGGACCTGTTATCTAAAGAAGAAGCTACAGTATTTGTTGAAAATGTCTTAGGACTCATTGACATCCAAATGAGATTTAATACAGACAGATTGTCTTTTCTGAACGACATTATTTATGAATATCATTGCAAAGTTCCATTTCACAACGTGGATCTGTTAGCACTTCCAGTTTCTGAAAGGAGATTACCAAATCTGACAGAATTGAAAGAGAGGGGTCTTTCCGGCAGAGGCGGTCTTTGCTATCAAAATAATACTTTCCTGTATTTCGTCTTACGAGCTTTGGGCTATGACGTAACATTGGTAAAAGGCCAAGTTAAATATCCTGGAAATCACGTGCTGTTAGTGGCACACGATGTTGTTACGTCAGGTGACAGTTACCTTATAGAGGCCGGCATGGGATATCCGACAATGAAGGCGATCCCTTTAGATTTTCAAGACGAATCGCCAGTGTACACGTTTTCATTTTGTACCTTAAAATACGTCCGCATGGAAGACGGAGAGTTTCATCGAATGCACAAAGGTTTAGCAAAAGATTCATACAAAGGGGAAAACGACCTAGACAACAGCTGGCGGTATGTCTATAGTTTTAACACCGCTCCTTGCATTCTCAAGGATTTCGAAAGCTCGATGGTCAGACCATACACTAACCCAACAACTTCAATATTTCTTAATTCACTCAGAGCTGTTCGTTTTCCGAATGGCAAGCTGCTGGCAATCAAGAATACCTCGATACTGGAAGACAAAGACGACGCAGTTTTTGCAACTGAGGTGAAAGATTCCGAAACCCTAAAGAATACCTTGTCTGTCTTGTTCCCAATGCTCAGCAGTCCAAAAGAGCTGATGTCATCTGCCGTTGAAATGTTTGAAACATTTAAATGCTATAATTAACATATATACGTGCAAGATATCTTGATAACGCACTGCTCTCATCCTGTAGATGTGTAACCTTGATCATGAAGATGTAGAGAAGCTTTAAATGTCAACAAAAGAACGTATAAATGTTTTGTTTTCCAATGGACGATTGTAGAACGGGGCTATTGATTAAACGTTATCCTTAGCCAAGCTACTCCATCACATCTCATCACCTCATAATGCACAGATATTTGGATACCAGCAACACACAGATTAATATATCATATTTTATGTGATATTCATTTAAATACATATTTATTATTAATTTAACTTAAATGTAGGTACAAAATTTGATGTAGATAAAAACATCCTTTACAATTTTATCTTTACCACACTAAATGTAGCTCATATTTTGTATAGTGCAGATGAGGTACAATTTTTTTCTAATCATCGTATAGTAAACTGTGCAAGGTGTAGCCTATCAGTATTTTAGACCCCATTCCCATAGATTTTGGATCGATCTATCCCTGTGGGGAGTCTCACTAGATTACTGTCAGCTTAGCCGGCTTAAGCGTCTGTCCCGCCTACTAAATGCCGTAAGGGGGTAATTAACTATGGTGCGCGCTCGGCTGACTGAAATTTAGCGTGAACCCCCAGGGAGTTAGGTCGATCTAAATCTAAATCTCTGGATCGATCTAAATCTCTGGGAATGCACCCTTAGTTTACGTCACCGTTCATTTTAATAAGATATTAAATATTGATGAAAGTAACAAATTGATATCTTTAGCTATAAACACATTTTGATGAAGTGGTGTACAATTTTGATATTTCTTGATATAAATTTATATTTTAAAATAATAATAATCTGTTGTTTGATTTTACTATTGTTTATTTTCTGTTGTTGTTTTTTTTTTCAAAGAAAGTGAAGTGGCAGACGGACATGTATCTGAACATGGATTGATATTTTATTTACCATGAATTTATTTAATATGTGTTGTTTCTCTTCTTTTACTACTTATAATGCCCCTTCTGTTAACAAGAGCCCATCATATTTACCATTTCTGTACTGACTGACTGCAAGACTTGAGATTCGATTAATGGAGACATTTTCCAACACCGCTGAAAGTAAATGACTGATTAATTAAAAATTCAATGACGCAATTTGTTACTTTAGACTCAAACCTTTATGCTATATATTGGCTTTCTCTTTGAAAATCCAAGAACAGAGAGGAGTCGTTCAAAGACTTATCTGAGACTTATCTGCTTTTGCACAGCTGGTCTTGTATAGCATCGTGAGATTTACAACAGTTTCACTTGCTTGTTGAGAAATACTCCAGAAATATCCCGGATCATACCGACAGCCCGAAGCTCCAGTGCCGAAAGGTTAGCGTAAGTTAGGCGTGGGGGTTCGTCGGCGATTAGAGCGGTTCGCACCCGAAATAACCGTGATGCTGTGTGATGTAATTAAATCATATTGAGCAGACCACCATGTTCTAGTGTTTATTACTACACGGGAGGACTTAAATACACATCCGTTAAATGCAGGTAACTGAAATTTAAATTTATGTTAACATGTTTACTATCAAAAATGTATAACCTTTGAGGCCAATGGAAAATATTCAGTTTTGGCTTGCCTGTGGAAATGAAATATTATCAAAATTTTATTAAAATAGAAATAGCGACATTTATGGGTTATTCACCTTAGGCCATGCATGCGCATTTGACTTACGTGTTTTTTAAAACAGTATATGTGTGTGGGAGGGGGGTAGGGGGGACTCTCCTACCCTAAATAAATCGGCCCATCGCTACTCGGTTCCTGCATCTTTTACTGTCTGTACATAATTTAATAACATTTGTTGTTACCAACTATATTAACCTTGATATTAAGTGTTTCTGTGACCTACTTTCCATCGAGGTTAGCTTAGACTTCTAAACTGCATATAACTCGAAGCTTACGTAATAGTCAGGTACGTTAAATTTCATTGTAAAATAGTCCGATTAAGTCATTCTTGAGTTCTGAACCATATATATATATAGACCTACAGTTCGTCAGGAGCCTTAGTGTTTAAGTAAACATACTAAATAATGTTACGAGACTTACACAATGCATGTGTAGTGTATCAAAGGTGGAGCATTTTGCATGCAATTTATGTCTATGATCTCTGTCGGTCATGATGAAGACTTGCAGCTCCAGCGGTTGTCTCCAGGAGTTGTCTCAGTTTTTGAGCTCATAACACCCTATATGTTACAAATTCTTGGATCTATAAACATCCAAATCATGGGGTAATCGCTTTGAAGCATATCATTCGCAAATAAATTCATTTTGTATCGGTTCAGTAACCAGTTTGATAACGTTTTACTCTTTTTAATTCCACCTAAGGGACTATTCCCACAGATATTTGGACGCATGTCCCAAGCTAGGCTTCTAGGGCACCTATAATCCCTTCTTTCCGCCTTCCCAGATACAGAGTATATGAGTATATGTAGAATTTAGATTAAATGCGTGGTCTTTATGTTTAAAGATGCATATAAAGTCATTTTTTTCCCACAAAAACCAGCATACCAGTATATAGTTTCAAGTAGTATAACTAAGAGAATTACCAAAAGGCATTGTTTAATTTTACCCGAAAATGATGTTTGAACGAACTTTTCTGCTAGCATTCTATGCTGTATGTCAATGGGGCAGAAAAGTAGGTCACGAAAGTAGGTTAAATTTCCGACCAAAAATTTAAAGAAAGGAGCAGTCTAAAGCTCTTTTAAGGCTTATCGAGTGATCTATTCAGTTTATGCCTTGGAATGTCGAATTCATTTGAGTCGTATAAGAAACTAGTAGAAGTGGTTTACATGTGTTACTGGGAATCCACGGTCCACTGATGCTCGGTTCGTATGTACCTTTAAGTAAATTAGATGTATATAGGGGCGGCATAAATCTTGCATGCAGGTACATGTTAAGTATTAATGACACATAATGTGCAAATATATTTTTCAGGCCAAAGAGACGGAAAGCACCCTACTTCTTATTCGTGAAATTGTGAGTGGGAGATGGACCTGTTATCTAAAGAAGAAGCTACAACGTTTGTTGAAAATGTCCTAGGACTCATTGACATCCAAATGAGACTTAATACAGACAAACTGACTTTTCTGAACGACATGATTTATGAATATCACTGCAAAGTTCCATTTCACAACTTGGATCTATTGGCGTTACCAGTTTCTGAGAGGAGAATACCAAATTTAGCAGAATTGAAAGATAGAGGTCTTTCCGGCAGAGGCGGTCTTTGCTATCAAAATAATACTTTCCTGTATTTCGTCTTACGAGCTTTAGGCTATGACGTCACATTGGCAAAGGGCCACGTAAAAAATCCGGGGGATCACGTGCTGTTAGTAGCACATGATGTTGTGACGTCAGGTGACAGTTACCTTATAGAGGCTGCCATAGGATACCCAACACTGAGAGCGATCCTTTTAGATTTTCAAGTAGAATCGCCAGTTTACACGTTTTCATTTTGTACCTTCAAATACGTCCGCCAAGATGGCGGAGAGTTTCATCGAATGCACAAAGAGGAAAGTGACCTAGAAAAGACCTGGCGGCGCGTGTACAGTTTTAACCCCGCTTATTGTATTCTCAAGGATTTCGAAAGCTCGATGGTCATACCGTACACAGACCCAACTTCAGCCTTCCTCAATTCCTTCAGAGCTGTTCGTTTCCCGAATGGCAAGCTGCTGGCTATTAAGAACAACTCAATATTGGAAGACAAAAACGGTAAAGTTTTTTCAACTGAGTTCAAAGATTCTGAAGCCCTAACGAATGCCTTGTCTCTCCTGTTCCCAATGCTAAACAGCCCAAAGGAGGTGATGAAGTCTGCCGTTGAAATGATTGAAACATTTAAATGCGAGATTAAACATATACATCCAATCATGTCAGGCCCGTAGCCAGCAATTTCAAAAGGGGGGTTCTTTTTCTGAAAAAGTGGACCTTTTCCCATTAAAACATAATATACCTAGTTCAATTTTTACCCAGAGTGGACCTTTTCCCAGCAAAAGGGGCGGTTCTTTCGAACCCCCCGAACCCCCCCTGGCTACGGGCCTGCATGTATAGTCATAGATTTATTAATAACACACTGCTTCCATCCAAGGAACGTGTTAACCTTGATCATAAAGATGTAGAGAAGTTTTATATGTCAGCAGAACTAGAAAAGCACTCCGGGAGCGCAGACCTCCGCCAAGGCAGCGATTTTTGAATATTATTGATTGATTATTGATCAGGATCACAACCAAAAACTAATCACTTCTAAGTTAACCCATTTCCCACCTACCCTAGAAATTTCATCAAAATCGGTCCATAACTGTTTGAGTTATGTTAATGACAAACAAACAGACAGGGGTGAAAACATAACCTCCTTGGCGGAGGTAATAAAAAGATATTATATTAATTGAACAAATGTATTTCAAATTATTAGTAACAATGTAAAGACAAAATTTGATATTGATAGAAAACAGAAAGTTGAATCTTTCACAATTATATTATTCCCATACTATTCGTAGTGCATATTTTTTATAGTGTAGATGAGGTACAATTTAATTGTTTTTCAATCATTGTAACGAAAATTTATTTTTAACACATTTTGAAGAGGTGTGCAATTTACTGATATTGTTTAAAATAAATTTCAGGAGGTGGACTACTCTTGTCAATTAAAACAAACGTTAAAATAATGATAATGAAATATTTAGGGACTTTAATATGGTTGTTTTTTCCTGTACGGTATTATCACGAATATATGTACCAGTAAGCTATATATGTAAGTTATAACAGTATGCATAAACTATAATATCTCTATTATAAAACGGATCTCAGTCACTGTAGTATGCGCTATAATTAACGTTTTTATTGCTATTACTGTAATGTGCTCTGATAAGCAAATAATTATAATATGATCAATATTCCTGCATGCAGGACATTTTCATTTATTTGCAAATTGACGATGCAAGTCAAAGAATGACACAGACAATGAAACGTTGTTCATATTGATAGATATATTTGAAATATACCACTCAAAAGAAGTAAGGGCAAACTCGTCAGGACTGAATTATCACTGTTATATACAGGCGCGGTATCTTCAAAAACAACTACTAATCCAGCTCAATAAAACGTGTTCTTATATCTTTCTTCATAGAGGTTTAGGTATAAACTGGTATGGCATTGGGCATATAAAGGTTTCGTCACAGTTACAGGATACATGTAACTAGATAGTAAAATAATAGGCCTCTGATTGGTCAGATACCATGCACTATAATTAATAGTATACTTGTTTTTCCCCTGCTATTTACTGTAATGTATTCTGAGAAGCTTCTAATATGATCAGATTTCACAACAAACAAGAGCATAAAAAACCTATATTTACATTAGTGTAAGATTTTTAAAGGGATAACAACTGTTGATTTTGGCCAAAAAATGAATTTTCCTGGGCTAAAGAACAATTTTTCCACACTTTTCAATGATTAATGAATCCATTCCCACATTGAAAGTTAGTCCCCTTTTTTTCTAAAAAGTTTGGTTTTCTGTAATATTCTCTTAAGAGATTATGACAGAGTGTAGCCATCTATGGAGGTCACGCAAGCACAAACTCCAGAATAATTGAGTTAACCACCGTTTCTAGGATTTTAAAATCAGCAAACCGGAAGTTGCCTTTCATCCATACCTTGATGGACAATAAGTTTAATAAAACCTAAAAATATATACCTCTTCATGAGTTGGTCACTTATCAACAACTACATTTTCCCACATCATAACAGCCATCTCTACAATTTCTCTGGGACGTGAGAGGACTGGAAACAGACGACACACGGTTTTCGTTATGGCGTCCGAATCTCGCAGCTCAGTGGAACATATCTGGCCGTTCTGGTCGTCCACTATGGCGTTGTCCTTTATGCCGAGTAATTTTCCCATCGGGAAACAGACTACTCGAAAAGACCGATGAAAGATGTACTCGGGATTGCTGTATGGTACATTCACAGTGAGGGCAATATCTTCTAGAGAAAAAGGGGCCGTGTCAAAGTGGTAAAATGAAAACCATGAGGTACCTTCGTCTTTGGGGGGCAAAGGGAATAATGGACTCCCCCGATAGACTTTGTGCAACCTCGCTATTCCACTTTCTTTTCGCACAAACTTAATGGTACAAATAGAGAAAGTATAAATAGATGATTCTTCTTTGAAATCTAAAGGGATCGCTTGCAGTGTAGGGTATCCGGCGCCTGCTTCGACAAGATACATGTCTTCTGAAGTCACAACAGCATGTGCTATGATAAGCAGGTGGTCTCCTGGGAGATACACTGTCCCCCTGGCTAACGTGACCTCATATCCTAAGGCTTGCAACACAAAATAAAGAAAACCATTCGTTTGGTAGCAAAGGCCACCTCTGCCAGATAAACCCCGCTCTTTCAATTCATTTGTAGTTGGTATCCTTCTTTCAGCAACTGGTAGCGCTAAGAGATCCACATTGTGAAATGGAACTTTACAATGGTATTCATAAATAATGTTGTTCAGAAACACAAGTTTGTCTGTTTCGAGTCTTTTTTCTATGTCATCCAGTCCAAGAACACGTCTAGTCTACAGCTTCACTCCTCGACACCAGGCTAGCTGAGACTGTGGACATCTTTGTAGAGATAGAGGAAGCTCACCAGTGACTAGCTATAGATTATCACCTGAAATATATACACACAGGTTGTCATTTTTTAAAATAGATCTCCAACTGAAGAAGAGTCTATTATTCTATCATGCAAAGTTTTGACATGTTATGATTTAAGTTACACTCTGTTTACACCATCATGTATAAGACGAATGTAAAATTTAATCACCCACCTTAATGTGCTCGAGTTGGTTGGCTTCTGTGATTCAAAAACGTCTACTAAAAATGAGTTGAATTTCACCTTGACAGCGGGCTTACATAAGACAATAAACCACCTGGTCAAATAGCATTAAAATAACATATAACTATGCTGAATGCCAAAGAAATGCAACCGGTTTAACAAGAACGCCACAAATTTATTTCGCGTTTGACCTACTCTATGACCACGTTCCCATAACTGGATCGATCTAGAAGTATCGATTCATCCCCGATGGGTTTCTCGTTAAATTGCATTCAGCTTAATCGGCTCTGATATCTAGTACGCCTACTGAGGCTGCTAGGGAATAATCAATTACCGTTTAGCAGCTTCAGTAGACGTGCCAGCTAGACATCCAAGACCCCCACAGATATAAATCGATTCTGTTAGTACGATAGGCGTATGGGAATGGCCCCTATATAAAATAGACTCCTTTGTAACGGACAGTGAGTACACTAGGGTAATGCGAACAATCCAGGTCACGAGTTTATACATAATTTATCCATAAAAATGCAGTACATAAAGGCCACTCAAGCACCAGGAATGCCCATTTTAACTAAGCTTCACAGGTGTTATAATACGTTTTTAAAACTTATGCGTTGATTGTATGGTATATGGGAGTGCGACTGTAGAGGCAAACAACAGACTGGAAAAATTAGTTAAAACGGCAAGTGATGTGATAAGGACAGATCTCATTTCTAATGAACCTACAAATCACCAGTGCCTATCATGAGTTGCACACTGAGAATAAAATTGGAGTCCAAGTGACTCCAAACTTGAAGTCCAGCAGTGGTGCCTAAAATAACTCCCAATTGGAGTCAAGTTGACTCCGATGGAGTAACGCTATCCCAGACCCCACAGGAGGGTCACAATTGACTCCATTCACACTTCCATTCATCCCTTGATTTATCACTACAAAAGAGTCACCATGACCCCATATTAAGGAATTTTTGACTCCTTGGCACATTATGAATAAAAACAACAACAGTGCTAAGCGGGGAGAAAGCAGGTACCGTTTATTAAAGACTGGTATGTCCCCGGATGGTTCGAACCCACGTCCTCCCGCTCCGTAGGCGGACACTCTAACCACAAGGCCATCCGGTCGCATGTGTAGCCGAAATAGCAATAACAAAGATCTGGTATTAAACAGCATGACAAATATATATATATATATATATATGAAATATATATATTATATATTCTTATGTAAGCCCGCTGTCAAGGAGGTGAAATTCAACTCACCTACAGTAGACGTTTTTGAATCACAGATATATATATATATATATATATATATATATATATATATATATATATATATATATATCATTGACTAAGCACACCTCCCCAGTGACATGTATTGGCGGGTCAAACCTACAACATGCATGGAATCAAAACCTGCTGGCCTGTATACCAACATATCACCATATAAAGGGTGTGGGCAACTGAAACCCCGGGCCAGTAATAAGTGCACGAGTTCTGAATGCAGAAACACACAGAAAACCATGTTCATGCATAAAACCAACTATCGTGTATGGCCAATAAAATAATGTTTATACTGACAAAGGATGATGAAAACTGTTCTCTCCACGCCGTCTGCTCACTGCCGTCACTGAGTACTGAATCGAGGCTTACTGTCCAGCGAGCGGAAAGAGTCGGTGAAAGGGATCAGGCAGACACTGACCCCTGTAATTTGACTCTGATTTTAGAGTCAGATTGACTCCATGAGAGCCAGGGGGTGATTGACTCTGATAAGAGAGTCTAAAGACTCTGGTATTGGGGTATATTAGTCAAATTAACTCCATGAGGCTCAAGGGGTGCTGGACTCTGACTAGAGAGTCAAATGACTCCAATTATGACTGATTTGGTTTGATGTAAATATGTAAAATACACGTCCTAGTAGCGCGTTTATTTTACATGTTACCCTAGTTATTTAAAAGTCGCCATTAATGTATGTACATTTGAATATATCGTGACTCAGCTGGAAGTGAAACCCGCAAAACTATATGTACAATGTACGTAGCTGTATTAAAACGGTTGAAATAAATTACTTTTATGCTTATTTCGGTGTTTATATGCAAATATACAGTAAAAACACAGTGCATGTTCTAAAACGATGAAATACTGTGCTTTTTGCACATTATAAGTACCAATACAGGTAAATTCTCATTATCATATATGATAATTACTAATAAATTAACTGAATTTTCATAATTGTGATCATTTATTAACTAACTAATCAATTAGATCAATGTCCATTATTTATCAATTGATTTTAGAAATATACGGAAAATTTCGTCAAAATCCCTCTATAATAATTTGCATATAAACGTTGCTTACAGACAGACTTTATTATGACTTTATATGTATACATATAAAGTGGTATAGCTAGGCTACATTAATTGTATATACTTCTTTACTCTTCTCTCCGCCTTGTGCTCTACATCTGTATCATAGTCATTGCAACATTTACATCAAAATTTGCATTCTCTATATAGTTTCGTTTTCATCAAGCTGATAATCACCCTGGAAGTTCCTCGTTGTAAATTTCTGTTTTATATACGGCACACATAGTTTGTACTTCTCTGTCGCAATGCTTCTCTGTCGCAATTCGTGCATTTAGTAATATAGCTATCAGCTACCAGTTTGTAGATTATTGGAAATATCAATCATGCATTACCTTCTTGGTTATACATGTTTGGTACTATGCACTGTACCGGGGAACGGGGGCTGGGGAGAGTACACTTTTTTACAGTTTAGTTATTTGAGTTGTATTTTTTAAAGAAGTACCATTACTCGTAAGTCCAAATGAACGACCTGATTAAGCTGGTAAGTTAGTAAGCCCGATAATGTTATTCATTTTCAAATAAATTTCCTGGTAATTTTGAAGACCAACAGATCTGCGGATCAGATATGGACAATCCACTTGAAATCTTGCCACATAATACCTGTAAGGATTCTATTCAGTCTGTATTAGGGAATTATGCTGGACGCTTTCAAGTAGGTCGGCCACATGTGACTGCGGCGTTGGACTGCAATGGCGGCGCCAGAGCAGGAAACAATTAACGGACACATGTCCCTGGCTATTGGCTTGTGGGACACCTGTAAACCCTTCTTCCCTCTTTCCTAGATACAAAGTATATTTAAAAAAAAGTTATAACAGTATGTATAACAGTATTTATAATATCTCGAGTAAAATGACAGGTCTCAGTCACATGTGCTATAATTTTAATTAAATTTGTTTTTTTTTTTACTGCTTTTCACTGTAATGTGCTCTAATAACAAATATGGTCAAAATTCCTGCATGCACAGCAGTTTCATTTATTTTCAAAATTGACAATGCAAGTCAAAGAATAACACAGACAATGAAACTTTGACAATATTGATAGATATATTTGATATATACCACTCAAAAGACGCCAGAACTGTATTATCACTGTTACATCTATATAGGCCCTACAGGCACAGTCCCTTCAAAAACAAATACTAATCCCGTTTAATAAAACGTGATCTTACATCTTTCTTCATATAGGCATAGGTATAAATTGGTACATGAACGGCATTAGGCATATAAAGGTTCCGTTACATATGTATCAGTGTGTATAATATCTCTGGTAGAATTATAGGCCTCTGATTGGTCAGCTACCATGCACTATACATGTAGTTAGCAGTATACTTGTTTTTCACTTGCCGTTTACTGTAATGTGTTCTGATAAGCTTCCAGTATGATGAGCATTTCTGCGTGCTCAACAAACAATAGAATATAAACAAACCTGTTTACATTAGTGTACGATTTTTTTTTTAATTTCGTGTATTCTTGTTGTTAGTAAATAATCAATAAAATGAGGATTTAAAAACCAGCAAACCGTAAGATGCTTTTCATCCATACCTTGATGGATAATAAGTTTAATAAAACCTAAAAATATACTTCTTCAAGAAGTTGGTCACTTATCAACAACTACATTTTCCCACATCTTAACAGCCATCTCTACAATTTCTCTGGGACTTGAGAGGACTGGAAACAGACGACACACTGTTTTCATTATGGCGTCCGAATCTCGCAGCTCAGTGGAACAAATCTGGCCGTTCTGGTCGTCCACTATGGCGTTGTCCTTTATGCCGAGTAATTTTCCCATCGGGAAACATATTACTCGAATAGATCGCAGAAAGATGGACTCCGGGTTGGTGTAAGGAGCTTCCATAGGAATCGCAATATCTTCCAGAATAGAAGGGTCCGTGTTAAAGTGGTAAAATGAAAACCATGAGGTGCTTTCGTCTTTGGGGGGCAAAGGGAATAATGGACTCCCCCGATAGACTTTGTGCAATCTCGCTATTCCATGTTCTTTTCGCACAAACTTAATGGTGCAAAAAGAGAAAGTATAAATAGATGATTCTTCTTCGAAATCTAAAGGGATTGCTTGCAGTGTGGGGTGTCCGCAGCCCGCTTCGATAAGGTACATGTCTTCTGACGTCACAACAGCGCGTGCTATGATAAGCACGTGGTCTCCCGGGACATTCACTGTCCCCCTGGCTAACGTGACCTCATACCCTAAGGCTCCCAGAACAAAATAAAGGAATCCATTCATCTGATAGCAAAGGCCGCCTCTACCAGATAAACCTCGCTTTTTCAATTCATTTGTAGTTGGTATCCTTCTTTCAGCAACTGGTAGAGCTAAGAGATCCAAATTGTGAAATGGAACTTTACAATGGTATTCATAAATTATGTTGTTCAGAAACACGAGTTTGTCTGTTGCGAGTCTTTTTTCTATGTCATCTAGTCCAAGAACGCGTTCTACGAAGTCTACAGCTTCACTCCTCGACACCAGGCTAGCTGAGACTGTGGACATCTTTGTAGAGATAGAGGAAGCTCACCACTGACTAGCTATAGATAATCGACTGAAATAAATACACGTCATTTAAAAATAAATATCGCCAGCTGATGAAGAGTGAAACTATATTTTATCATGCACAATCTTGACATGTTATCATTCAAGTTACACTCTGTATGTCATATATACCATTGTGTAAATTATGAAAGGTTCTATAGGACGAATGTAAGACTCAATCACCCACCGTAATGTGCTCGAGTTGAAGGGAGTTGGCTGGCTTCTGTGATTCAAAAACGTCTACTGTATGTCAGCAGAATTTTCTCTTTGACAGCGGGCTTAGATAAGTCAATAAATCACCTGTTCAAATAGCATTAAAATAACATATAACTATGCTGAATGCCAAAGAAATGCAACCTGTTTAAAAAAAAAAAAAAAAACGCCACAAATGTATTTCGCATTTGACCTACTCTATGACCCTGTTCCCATACCTAGATCGGTCTAGCAGGATCGACTCATCCCCGAGGGCTTTCTCACTGAATTGCATTCAGCTTAAACGCCTACTGAAGCTGTTAGGTAGTAATTAACTATCGTTTAGCAGCTTCAGTAGACTTGCCAGACATCTAAATATAGATCGATCCTGTTAGTACGATGGGAGTATGGGAATGGTCCCTGTATGAAATAGACTGTTTTGGAACGAACAATGAGAACACTCATAATCAGTGTAATACTAAAAATTCAGGTCACTGGCTTAAGCGTAATGTAAATAAAAAAAATGCAGTAAGGTTTACGTAAGCACCTGTCTGTGCTCTATAATACTCGGTATATAACAAGTAGGTTGAGCTCGTCAACTAGTTTTTTTCTAGTTTTTTTTCTAGTTTTAGTTTTTTTATTAGGTGAAAATGATGCATTCCCTATTCACAGGCCATTCGATTGTGTTGCTAGTGTAGAGAATACATTTTAATGAAGTTTGCCGACGATACAACATCAGTCGGTCTAATGGATGATAATGGCGAGTCCAAGTACAGACAATAATGATTTAATCTTTAAAGCCACACAAAATAGGATTTAAATTGCATTCTAAGGATTTACCAATAAAAACATTTTCATGCTAAATTCGGAACTAATATGCAAATATATATCGTTTCTATAGTATTACCTAATTAGATGAAAGCTAGTTAAAACATATAGTGTATGTTAGGACAGTATAAAAACACAGTGCATGTTCTAAAACGGTGAAATACTGAAGGGGCGGATCCGCGGATGCAAAGCCGACCCCCCCCCCCCTCCCCCCAGGCTCACACACACGCATGGCGTAGGCCTATTGTTCCATATTAATTTGCATGTAAATGTTGGCAACAGACAAAAACTTTATTATGATTTAATGAACTTCATCATTTCATAATGGGTCATCACCAAAACCTTTAATAATATTTCTTAAACACTTAAATTGGTCCCCTCCCAACAGTTTCTGAAAGTTTCATTGAAACTCGCTCTTCACTTTTCGCCTTATTTTGCTGACAGACAGACAGACATACTAAACCAAAATATGAGCTAGAAAAATTTCATTCAGTTTAAATTAAGGTTCTTAAACGTAAATATATTTCCCAAAGTCACATTATCTATATCTACATATCCAGAGAACTACCAGTATATACTGTATGCATAGTATGCATAGGGGGCTTAACAGGCTACATGTATTAATTGTAGCCTATAGGCCTATTTCTAAATTCATATTTCTAATTTCTAAAAACCTCTCAAATAAAAGCACCTGATGGCGTAGATATATAATGTTCAGTTCCTTTTGAAAGTGATTTGAATGCTGATTTTATTGAGTACTGGTAAATCATGTATAATCAGACCCACACCCTCCAGCAAATGAGGAAAAACCCGTCACATGTGGCGGATCACTATAAAGTGACAGTTGCGAAACCAATACCACGTGACATATGAAATGATCGAAACACTTCCGGGTCGCGTTCAAAACATTGACAAGCCAGTGCGAAACTGAAAACACGGCTTCTAAAGGCGCAGTATTGCCGGCGTAGTTCACTGTTTTCTCCAAACAAGGTAACACTTTCTCCCTTTTTCATTCAGCAGCATGCATTAAGCTCATGTAATTGTTCATGGTGTACGTGCACTAGATTTTGAACTTCAAGTCTAAGGTCACGGGGTCGGTCCTGTTTTTGAAGGGAGGGATGAGCATGACAGACACCCACACACTCATAATCAGTGAGTTGGGAGTGGGAATATTTCTTGTTCCTTACTGCGCTTTGGTGAGTTTAGTATTTTCAGATTAAATCTTACTGAATTACGGCGGTGGTTGTAAATATCTCTCCCATTGATATACTGCACAGGGTGTATGCACATGCATGTACATGTAGCAGACATATGGGACGAGTTAGGTTGGGGGGGGGGGGTGTTGATGTAAGAGTTGAATAAATCAGAGGAATTATTCAGTAGAATAAGCTTATAGGTACTGACATAACTGATTTTGGTATCCTGCCCCTGTCCAACGTTATATCAATTGATAATCTATTATAATGGGGTCAGATAGGGTCAGTATACTGTACTGTGTACTGCACTTATATAAGACTGCATTCAGATTCACATATGGTACAAGCTGGGTCGGCCGAAATCTGTGGGGGATTCTCGCTTAACTGCAATCAGTGGAATCTGCTTGATTGCCTGACAGGCCTCCTGTAGCAGCAAGGGGGGGGGGGGGGGGGTAATTAACAAATTGCGTCCTGATCAGGCCAATTCCATTGGTTGAACTTTTAGTGAGAATTTCCCACAGAGGAGGACCAATCCATCTGGCATAACGTGTGAATCTGAATGGGTCCTTATTTATGGAATTGGTACAGTTTGGTGTAAATGCATGCAGCATTCATCTTACACATGTGTCCTGCTAAACTTACTACTTGTCATATTTTTGTATGTTACTGATTAAATGCTTTATCTGAAATGTAATTTCATTCCAAATTTTTTTAAAAGAACATATATTAACAACCTTTAAGTTCAGTCCAATTTTTTTAAAAGAACATCTATTAACAGCCTTCAGTGAATGATTACTTTTTTCATTAAATAATGGGGCTTCAGCTTACATTATCAGTTAAGACTATCCACACACTTATGATAAACGTATACTCAGAAATCCTTTATTTTCAGGTTATCATCATCTGATCATCAAAATGACCTTGACTTGCATGTTGTTGTATTGATTCGAGATTGAATACACCTCAACATGGCCCACTCAAAACCGCCCCACCATTCCTCCGCCAGTCCCGAGTTTGACCTCCCGTCCTTGAGCTCAGAACCAGAAAGTGAAGTCTTCTCTTCTGGGGTCGCAACATCGCCTTCCTTCGAAATCATTGGATCCTCTTCCAGTGGTAATGTAAACAAGAAAATGAAGACAGAGGGCGAGTTTAACCAAGAAGGTCCTGGTGATGAGGTGCATCGTTCCATAAGCGTACAAGATCAACTTATGACAGGAAGAAAGGTGGCACAACGTCCCAGTATAGAGAGATCGGAGAGCTTGATGTCCCTTACAGATGCATTGGTACAGTTTGTATCATAATTAATTCAAATTAAGATGGATTAGCTTTTTGTAAAGAATTTGACTTTATTGCCCCAAGAGAGATGGGAGTTCTCATTAAAGTTCACTCTACATGGGCATGAAGTTTTATTTATTTACTGAACATAAAATAATAATAATAATAATAATAATAATAATAATAATGATAATATTTATAATAATGATATTGTTAATAATAATAATAGCAGTGCACACAATGCAGTTTAACTGCTATAGAAGCAAAATACCAGCATTTTGATACCAGTATATGAAGCATGGTTGACTTGTGTAAAAATGGCAAGTTTTATCTTGATTCAAGGAAATATCTTGATTTTCCATGACTTTACTGTTACTGAAACTATTAAACATGTTTCAGAAAAAACAGAATATTGTTGACGAAGAAATAACACAAGCAGTGGCAGGATGTGATGATGAAAAATTTGTAACAGTTCGGGAGAAAGTTAGCAAATTGAAGAAAGAGTGTTGTCCAAAGCACCGGAGGCGAAGCACTACCCCTGAAAAGAAGGAACTTCGCCGGAGCCTAAAAAAGAAATGTAAGGAATGTAAAGATTGTGTGGCAAAGCATTTGGAAGCAATGCAGATTTCACAAGAAGATACCAGCGAACAACTTGATGTAAGTTTTGAAAATCCTGCAGCTGATTTTAACATTTTGAATCAGGAAAAATGGCTGTTTGTAATATAGCAAATTAAAAAAATTGTAGAAAATGGAAAGTTTGATAAGTCCATTTCTGAAACTGTGTGATCTTGTAAACTTGAAAACAATGCTAGAAAGATCGTAAATTTGCTTTTCCAGTACCTGTACCACAGAGTTACTTTATGCAGTTTTTCAACCTTTCCCCTCTTTTTCAGTTACCATAATTTGGTAATTATTTCATTGTTTTACATGTATTAAGAATGCAGTTGCTTTATTGTAGGAACTAGAGAAGCTGAAAGTAGAAAATATGAAGCTTAAGAGTCAGTTGCACAAGGTAAGATAAGTATTAGTTAAAACGCAAGTTTTTCACAGTATGCAACATACAAGCTAGAGCATAATTTACTCTTTTATGTGGCATATAGTGGCTAACAAGTAGTAAATGACTTATTCCATGGTTGGCGTTTTAAAAAATAGGGTGATTGCATTTGTATTTCTCTCAGCATGCACAGAAGCACTTTAAAATACAGGCAGCCGTGTTAGCATTGAAATGCAAGTGCAATAATATAAGTTATTGTTCAGAGTGCCAGCCGTGGGATAGTGACACAGACTGATACATAGTGAAATGAGGGTAAGAACTTGCCTTATGATGTGTACAGGGGCTCCATCTATTTAAGTTTATCTTCACATAATAGGGAGACCGAGACTATTTGACTGTCAGTATGACTCTATGACTCTATGAAAACTCCACTATAGATGAAGCACACATATATATATAATGCCGGTTTGAAAAAAAAAAGCCTTTTAAGTTTGGTGTTGCAAAATGCTGCTTCCTTTGAGCCTCAAATAGCAACCTAACCAGTTTCATGCCCTTAGCAATATATCAGGCCTTCTACAAATTTGCTGCAATATTGCTGCAAACTGTAATTTTTTCTTGCAAAATTTGCAGCAAATTTGCTGCATTGTGACTGCAAATTAACAGCATGAAATTTTTAAGCTTGCGGCGATATTGGAGCAAACTTTTTATTAAGCTAAGAGCAGTTGCTCAAGGGTTGCAGAAGGCTCGCCTACCGGTGCAAAGGGGGTTTAAAGTTGGGCGATTCCTTCCTCCAGGTTTTTGAGGCTAACATGAAGTGGCAGGTATACGACAGCCAGAGAGACCACTACGTGGCCACCTTGATGGAGCAACTAGAAGACCTAAAGGAAAAACTGCAACAAGCCAAGTCAAGCACAAACCTGGATGAAGCAGCCCAGAGAGAGATTGACAAGATTTTGTTGGCTTCCAAAGATAAAGTGACTGCCATTGAAGAAGAGAAAATACAGGTTGAGTAACTTTTAGTCATACAACTGAACGAGTACAATAGGAGTAGAATTTTTTTCTTTTCTTTATTGATGATTGGAAGAAGATGAAGAAGATTGATTATTCTTGTAGCAAGTTCCCTTCTTCAGTGAACACAGTTTATGCTCATGTTTATGTCTGTTTAGTGAAAGAACAGAAATTTTAAATGTTTCTATATATCTGGAATAGTGATGCAGAAAATAATATACAAATACATGTATCTATATTACCAACACTATCAATTGAGATTTGAAAGGTAATAGAGGGAATTCAAAAAAACTTATAGACATATTTAAACTGTTCTTTCATTTGATTAAGCACTATACCTACTGGTAGATTGATCACATAAAGGGAAAATGCATTTTTTAAAAACATTTACAGACCTTATTATACTTAAACAGCTGGCAAAAAAAAAAATCCCAAAAGCATTCCTAATAAGGTAATTTATAATCAACTTATTTAACAATCTATTCATGTTTTTGAATATATTTACTATATGCATTTATAGCTAGAAGATGACCTGAGAAAATTCAAGCAACTTTGTGAGCAGAAGGAACAGAGGATACGCCAGTTGGAGGCACAGTTACGTGAACGCCAAGGTGGAGACAAAGACGTTGTGGAGGCTCTCAAACAACAGATCTTGCTCTGTACTGAAGATTTTGAAGCCGAGAGAAGAGACCGAGAGAGGGCTCAGGGAAAGATTTTTGACTTAGAAACAGAGCTTCAACTTCTACGGAGACAGGTAAGAGTTCTGCGTTCTGGAAAAAAATTTTCTATGTTTTTTTAAACATCTGAGTTATCTAAAATGCACTCCATTTTTACCTTTGCCAAGGAGGTGATATATTCACTTTCATTTGTTTGTTTGTCACCAGCCTAACTCCAAAAGTTATTGAGGGATTTTTCAGGATAGCTCAGAAATGGGCTGACATAAAAGTGATAAGATTTTGTTGGCGATTTATGATTTGGATTACCCATCTGGTACTAAGAAATACTTCAATCACCTTGACCTGTTGTGCAGTGAATGTGTGTGCTCTCAACTACCACAATTGATTAGTGTGCAGTCCTTGGCACAGTAATTACGCCGCGGGGTATTCAGGGCACGAACCGTGATTACAAGATACCGCAAATAGAAAATAGATTTTTAGAAAATAGACTTTCCATGTGAACGGTCCCTTATACTCCTCAGGGAGATTTCATCAGTTGAACAGATTCACAAGGATTGGGTAGATATTCTAGAGCTGACTGGTTTTGTTTATTTAGGATTAAAACTATAACCTTTATTTTTGTTATAGTTGGAGATGTATGAAGGGGAAGCCGTTCAGAGCATGAACAGTCGGAGGCAGGCTGCACTGGAGGGACATACATATTGTCCAGGTATAAAGAATCTTTAAAAAAAAGCTTGTCCATAAAATCAGTGAAAATCTATTGTCCCAATTTTCCTTATTATGATAGTGGAAAATAAGAGAGGAGTAAGAATACAGCAAATCTCTCTTCATATCATATAATTATCAGGAGTGGGTGGTCAGCACTGATCGAAGTACATTTCTATTAGTACAGCCTGAGTATTGCTGGTATTGCAACCAGGCACCCATTTACCTGACCAATAAGTTATAATAAGTCATTATGTTATTATGTCATTCTCCAGACACTAGCTATATTGTTACTGACATATTGATATTTCCTGTTCTACAACAGCCGCAATTAACAAGTACATTTCCCATTTTCAGGTCGCACTGTTCCAGATGATTATGACCTGGAGGAAGACATGGATGAAGTTGACAGCCTCACCTCTGCCAAAGAGTAGCATTTAATGTTAAACCAGTACACCAACTGGGGATGGGCAATGGTAGCGCACTTGCCCCTCTCCAAGAGATTTTAAAGAGAAATTTGTGCTGAAAATTCACAAAATGTAACTTTTCGTTTCTCCCAAACCATCAGATGTGGCTTACTTATTCTTCAATCAATATATATCTGAGTACAACAGGTGGTACACATATCCTGCTTGTGTGTATTGAATGTATTGTGTGCCGTCAAGAGATGCCCCCAAGCATTGTTCTCCACCTCTTATTACCTGTATACAGCTCTACTGTTAAGAATGCTGTGAATGCTGAACTGCTACATTCCAAGGCAAGAAACATGCACATGTGACGGGTCTATGCCCTGAGAAGCCCAGAATGCACCTTGGACATTCAAATAGAAAAAAGGAAGAAAAAAGAAAAATAATAATCCAAAAAACTTCAGCATTTTTCTCTCTATCACCAAGGTACATGTATCCCACTATACTAGTATACTCTATTCATATATGTCTAATTTTTTATCTCTTCATAGTTTTCGCTGTCATGAGTGAAATCCATGAGTTATTGGTCATCTTCATGTCAAAATTGTTCAATATTTGGAATTTGAAACTTAAAAATTTGAAGCTTATATATATGTGCATACTAAACCGTGCACAGGTAATGATATTAATGGTAGTTTTCAGTTTTATAGGTAGTTTTAAAATGACTTTAGGAATTCTTTTTAAGATCGTCTTCAGGGAAACATTTTAATTTTAAAACATATACAGCACCCCTGGTACACGTACTCAGTATGCATGTTAATATTTACAATTACCTGTGTTGTATTTGTTTCTTTTTTAGTTATATAAATATACATTATCTTGCATAGAATTATTCATAATGAAAGCTCGCGTAGATTAAGAGAACTGCATCAGTATAGTTGTATTATGGGGATGTAGCTAAAAAATACACTGGGTCGTTTCCGGTTCCGGTTTGGACGCTCACCTTCTCTGTCCTTCACCTACGTAAGAAGCTTTATGTAACATATGATGTTGTTTTCTGATGGAACTTGGTTGAGGAAATGTGACAGCTTTGGTCTTAATGCAGAAGTAATAACCCCAACGATCGTTTTTTAAGTACAGTGTAGGCTAGCATATATGACATATTTCTCACGTCCACTGCTCACACCAAGTTATTGTTGGACAGTTGAGATATGCCAATGATTGAACTTGTACGCCACGCTTGGTATCTGTTATTACCTTCATCAGGGAGGTTGTTTTCGGTTGATTTTCTGTTAGAAGCATTTCGCAAAATTAATAAATAAGTAAATAAGTTTGTGGGCGGATTTTGAGGCAATTTTCAGAAATTGTCTGGAGGAGACCAGAATCAAATGACAAGATATTGGTAGTGATACATTAAGTAATTACTTCATTTATAAGAATGAAAATTGAGCGCCCTTGATGGAGGTCTTCAGTTCTCCGCATGCTTTTTCAGTTGAAAATTTTATTTGTGCATAATACCATATGTAGTCTATATTATTCCAGCGGCAACTTCCTTTGCTCAGATAAATTTACGTAATGCTCGTGCAATAAGTATTTACCGCCAGTAATGCGTTACCTCGCAAATGTTTTAAGTGTTTAGAACTGCTTAATAGTAAAGATTCACGTAGGTTTTCTGTTTGATCGAGATTATTTCGTGGCAGAATATGTTCCCAGTCTTTTTGGTAAATTTGTTAGTCATGTTGTAATATGCTATATGTTATACACTGTGTCAATTAAAATGCTAATAAAATATGTAATTGATTATGTATCAATTTGCGCAGGCGTCTTATTTTTGCGAATATTTATTAGACTGAATGTTCTTGGTTCTCAAGTTCAGCCCTGTGATGTATTTCATGAAACTGCATGGTTCTTGGGGCGCTTTCCATATTTTTTTCGTTATGTAAACCCGGTACGTATCATTTGAAAAATGTACTTATATCGATGTAAGGTGCTTAAAGAATTTTAAGGAGCTGCCTCACACATTACCTCATGGTCCCACGTAATATTTATGGTGGATATTATAGATTTCGCACAACAAAACTCAGATGTGTTTTGAAAGGTATATATGCATATCCTCCCTGTTTCAAACGCCAAACCGGTTCCGTTTGCACAGTGGATTCGTTAGTCGATTGATAAGGTTAATTTGAACGTCTTTGGATGCCGCGATCACTGAGCATTCGTTTTGCAACCAAAGCGATACTTGTGCCTCCTTTCTACGATCACAGTGATGCCAGTTTCATGGGGGCACGAATGACGCAGAAACGACGCCGTCCCATGTAAAGGGGGTTTAATGTAGGACTGCAAGTGGGAGATTTTATCTTAAATTAAAGGTCTCAGGGTTTTAATCACGGGTGTGATTCTCCGAAAATACTCAGTTTGAGACAAAAGATTTGCTGCCCTGCCATTACCGTCGTCAGGGGTCACCGGGGACAAAAAAAATCGTTGTTTCCCATTCAATACATGATTAGATCGACACCTGATTGTTGAAGAAAAACTTCTCCTATTTTTATGTCCTTGTTAAACCGGTTCACTTCCTAATAAAATGCACCTTAAGGCGGCGAAGTGTTTTTTAATTGCTCCTCCAATGCTCCTCGTTAAGCGTAGGTAGGCGAAGGTGATTAAAGTATTGTGCTTGTACAAAGATGCCCTTCGGTCGCCTTCATATTATTCTCAGATTTTCAGTGCTAATTGAATCAACTTATACTGAACATTAGTTAAAAACAATCAAAATAGCCCATTATAGCTTCACCGGCCACGCTTTTTGGCATATTTGTGACAGTTCCTTGAAACGGCAAAATTCAATTTTCCAGATTTTAGATGGTTTGTTCACGTGCTGTAATATTGTTACTTGCGTCTTGTGTAACCCGTCTATTTTCAATGAAGTCGAGTCAAGAGATCTAGACGAGTGGCGATGACGAGATGCAAACGCTGTTGGAGGACGAGGAGGAGTGGCGGGAATTGATCCCTGCGTCCCGTGGAGGGATCGGCTTACGCCCTCGTCTCCAATCGGCTCGGATTTCAGACAAACATGCAACATTCTTTTTATAATGCAATGATATGAATAGACTTCTAATGACAGTTAATAAAAACTTGGGTCTTCTTCCAATATTTTTATCACGTTAAACTTTGCCTTGCTACTAGTCTTACTAGGTGCGTTTTGGATTTCTTCCATATTTTAGGGCGAGATGAACAAATATGAATTTCAATTCTACGAGGTCGACTGGTACCTATTTATATTATTTTTTAAAAGGCAGTGAAAATGATCATTTTTTCATATTTAAGACAACGTGACGATACGTCCCTAAAGGGAAACCATGGTATACAAACATTACAGAGAAAATCAGCCCGCGAAACGATCATCATCAACTTTGAAATCACAGGCGATATTCCGATGATTGATTTAATGATCGATCGACGATTGGTTGTATAAAAGTACTGTCATGCATTACACAGGAGCTTATAAAAAGATTGTGAACATCCTTTGTATATCTATTACATCTGCCACTTTTACTGATGAAAGAAGCTTTCTTAATGAAAATTTATTAGTTTATTATTTTTGTTAGTATCTCAAGAGCCAAATTCAAAACAAATCAAATAAGTGTATATTTGACAGCACGAAGATTGATTCAAAATTAATTTATGAGACACGTGTCGCTTATTTATCAAACTGATCCGAATTATGTGTACCAGTACCAAATACCTAGTTGATTTTACCGCCAAATCGCTATCTGCGGTATGCATCTGTAATTTTATTTTTTCTTATGAAAAAAGATAAGCTTAAGGCCAGACAAAATAGATAATCTTGACAACGAAACGGAGACTTTCTTGTGAGCAGGGTTGGATATCATTTTTTTCTTTTGTCTTTTAAATGTCTGATGCTTAACGGGCTTAGCGCCTAAATCTTAAGGTGTCTTTTTCTTGGGTTTGGTATAAAATATCCACAGTGTAAGCTATTTTTAAGCACAAAGCAGTTTTTTCGTCTGGTCATTGTTTTTAAAAACCAATACCCATTTTTTCAGTTCGAAAAATTCCGATTTCCTTAAAACTAGAATCGGCCGTGCTTGTTAACCAAATATTTTTTTGTCTAACCGAATAAGCAAACCATTGATAATAATAGACGATTCACAACGAAATGGGTTCATCTTTGGTAAGTGGAGTTTATTACGTCTTAACCTAGACATGCGCAGACCAAGTCTATTAAGCATGGAAAAGTTTTTTTTTTATCTCAACCACGGTGGATTACGTTATCTCTATAGGCGTCATTCCCTTAAAGAAAGTGTAATCGAAAAGCTCTATTTCGAAAAATAAAACAACAAAAAACGTAGCTATACAATTACAAAATTATTGTTCCAATCTGCTTGTAGAATAACAATTAGAGCTACATAAAGATGATGCCAATATTTTAAGTTAGTTCCACTATCAAATGGTCAATTGTCGTTGATTGAATCTGGATGCTAATTGTGAACGTGTATCGCCCTGGCTGTCTCTTCTCCTCCAGTTTCTCATTGTACGGATTATGTTCTCCAGAAGCATCTGTTTAGAGATAATTTCTAGTTGGCTGTTTGCCGCTCCGTTTACACAGCATATACCGGATGGCAGTTTTGCCCTTTTTCTACTACGCTTGCGCCAATTGAGAAGAGATGGCATAAAGCCTTGCAATATATCCCTACCTTCAGAACTAGCACTAGAAGCAACTGGCTTTAGATAAATTTGGAATGACGCCTCTCTGGTCGGAAATTTGAGATTGGAAACCCAGGTTTGAAAATCTCTTGAAATCTGGAACTTTTTGGATACTCTGTGCCAACCGCTCGGGTTTGAACCAATTTGCTCGTTCCGAAGTCTCTCGGTGACCTGTTTGTTCACTGATTGGAACGGTGTCCGTTTTCCAGGAAAGTGTGCACCGGAACAGTTGCATAAGTTCCCCCCAATGCCTTGCTGGCACCTTGAGATGCAGAACATGTGTTTATTTAAGCTACCGTTATGTTTGCCTCCCTCCAAAAGTGCCAAGACCATGCTAAATAACAACGCATACGTGAGTAATCCCATCGTAACGAGTTCCAAAAGAAAGCGAAGATGAAGTCTTCAGTCACTTCCTTCGGGCTTTTCAATTACCGTTAGACGAGAAGGTAATCGCTCCTCTGTGGTTAACGAACACTTATCAGTTTCAACTTTCTACAAGATGATGCATTTAAAGCGTCTGTGGGGAAATGTAAAACCCGTGTCGTGAAGCAGGTGGACCGATTAACTGGAATTAATCACCAAGAATCTTCACGCTGGAGAGTTGTAGAGATGACAGACTTCCAAAGAGGATGAGTTAATCTAGTTTCTCCGAGGACGCAAAATGAATAGGAGATACCGTGATTAGATTTATATTGCCATA